CTGCGGGTAAGCCACATCCCTCCACGTGGGGTGGGAGGGTGGGTCTCCCCAGGCTGGGTGCATGTGCTGGGAACAGTGGTACCTCTCAGGCAGGTCTCCTGCAGCACCCTGCATTCTCCTGGCTCCCCTAAAGCAGCTGAGATGAGCTCCAGAATGACGCTTCATGGTTTTCCCAAAACCTGCCTATTTGGTAGATGTGTCCAGATGAGCCAGACCAACCTGTCGATGTTTTCTTGGATGGTTTTCAGGGAGATTTGGGGTGGGCAGCAAAAAGCAGAGGCAGGCAGAGATCCTCCTTCCTGGAGGAAGGAACATCGAGGCCAAGCAGGGGGCGTTGACCTGGGGATCACAGCCCTGCCCCAGGCACACTGCACTAGAGTTGTCCCTCATGGCACCTCCGTCACTGCACCGGTCTCCTCTTTGCAGCAATCCCAGTACGGGGAGGATATTTGCGTGGTGGCTTTCTCGGGGCTGGACATCCCACCCCCAGCTGGTCCCCTCTGGATCCTGGGTGCCAACTTCATCGGGCACTACTACACCAAGTTCGACCGGCGCAACAACCGCATTGGCTTTGCCACTGCCCGCTGACTGCTGAGGGGGGCTGGGGAGAGAGCCAGGGGAACCAGCCTGGAGGCAAGAGTACCACCAAGAAGAAAGGATTTGAAGTGTAAAGGAGAACAGCATTTCCTTACAGCTCAGCCACCTCCTCTCTGTGCTGAAGCAACTGTAAATCCTCGCCTTCTCCCACTCCAAAACCCCCGCTCTGCTTCCCGAGAGTCTCTGCTGCTGGGAAGATCTGAGCCTTAAAGGCATCTTCTAGTGAGTTCATTGAAGTCTGGAAATCCAAGAGGGATTCTGTGCCCTGAGCTGCACTTCCATGGACTCTTAGGGTGATGTGCAATAGTACAACTGGCGTGCAGTGAACTGCTGCTGGCGCGGAGGTTCTCGCAGGTTGCAGACAGGCTGAGTAGGGATGATCTGTTGCAGTCTGTGTTATTCTTTGTACAGGAGGAAAATAGTCTGTCTGTGTTTAATGATAGTTTTAGTTGGTGTTAACCCTGACCCTCTCTGTGACTTCAATATTAAACAAACTTAGAGCAACAGGACACTGAGTGGATGCTTATTCTTGCAGAGGGAAGAGATCAGACACCTTTATTAAAACAGCTGGACAACAAGTGTTCCCCTGCTAGGATCCACAATGACATTTACATCCTTCTCTGTTTCATAAGAGTGAAATACCCTCACAGGTGGTGCCGCAGCGTCTACACGAAGGCAAATCAGGGCCTTTTCAAATAGTAAACAAGCTTTTTTTGCAGGAGCTGAGCTGTTGTGTAGCCTCCCCATGCCTTGACCCCTTGGTTTCATCCCCCGGGACCGAGGGGCAGGGCTGCACGCCTGCTGTGCCGCTCTTTGAGGCGGGGAAGGTGCCTGCAGATCTGATTAAGGGTGCCTGACTTTGTCCCACCAGGAAGGCAGCTCTCGCTCTCCCGGTGCCAGGATCCGTTTTCATTGCTACTTTGGCTCCAGCTGACAACTAGAGGCCTGTCTCTGCCCTGGTTGTGCATGGACATGCTCAGGGGGAACACGCTGCAGCTGTGAGCCCTGCGCTGGCTGACCTGGCAGGAACAGCAGACCAGTGCTCCCAGCTGGAGGCTGACATTTCCAGTTCTGAGGGAGAACTGCGGTATTTCGAGTTCCAGCCCAGCAGCTGCTAATCCAAGCTTTCCCCAATTCCAAGAGGTTTGCAACACGCTCTCGTCACTGGTTTGACCAGTTCAGGTCCTGGGAAATGTGCCTGTAAAGCAGAGCACAACGCTTGGGCTTCTGGAGCAGAGCCTGGAGCAAGCCACCATCTGAGCGCAATCGCTCAGAGAAGCTTCTCATCCTCATTTCTGCCGTCAGCGATGACTGCTGACGAATTCCCAGAGCTGCCTCTCGGGCTGCAGGGGTGCTCGGGAGAGTGATGCTCCTGCCAGCACCGAAACAGCGGCTGGTCTGTGACCTTTTCCAGC